GGAGGAGGAAGATGCTGTTTAAATTACTTGGGAGCTGATTTACAAAGCCCTGTTGGATCAGTTCTTTGTTCAGTCTTCAGCATCTCAGCTGTTCCCTGTCCATAGTAACAAGGTAGTCCTGAACAGATGGGCACCAAACTCCTCATGCCCTATGAGTTTTCAAATCCTTTCATGTAGTTCACCAGACATCACTTCTGTAACAACATTTTTCATTTCCAGGAGGTTTTTTCCAATGCTGTGTGGAACAGAAATAAGCAATCATTCCAAGAAACAGACTGAGGCTTGTCCATAGCAATGCTGAGAGCTACAGCCTATGAGCCAAGATCAGAATGGGGAAGGGGTCTTAAGTGATGCTGCTTCCTGGTCTCCACTGTCTGCAGCACTTCCAGCTGACACTGTCCCCATAGCCCAGATCTGGAGGGGTGACCTTGTAATAAAACATTTCTTTTTTTGTCTGTGCTGAACAGCTTGACTTTGCTGGCTAATCCGATTCTTCTTTGGCTTGGGAAGCACATTTTTTTTCTTTGTTGTTGCTCCTGGTTCCTAAGCACAGGATCTGGAAGTTGATTGTCTATCTGTCTGCAAGCTGCACTCCTGTCCTGATATTCAAGCTGCTGGTTTGGAAACACTTCAAAAGACTTTCATCCTTCAGAGCGGCTGTATGCACTGCTGTTACAGGCACTTTTTAATGTTTTCTGATTACAGTGTGGCATTTATTATTATGCCTTTTAAGACAGCACAACTTTATTTATACATCTTTTTATTGAAATATATAAATGAGTCTCCTTTGAGATAGCTGCTCTGTCAATCCCAGCGTAGGATTTGAGTAACGTATTACCACAGAACAGAAAATCAGAGGAAGGCATCTGGGTAGGTTCACCAGTTTGTTTTTAATGAAATGTTTTATCCCTTATTCCTTCTTAAGACAAATGCAGAGTTCTGAACTGGGCACGCCATCAAATCCTCAGGTCTAGCATATGGCTCATAGAGACGTTTTTCTTCTGCTCTTAAACTTTCCCTCCTGTTCCCATCTTTTATTTTTCTCTCTTGCGCTATTTATCTCCTTTCTCTCTGTCTTCCCATCCCAGATTCACTCATCTCATTATCTCTTCTGATGCCAGAAAAGATGCTCTTGGTTTACCATATGCTGTTAAGAGGTGCTGGTATCACAAACACAAGTTGCCTTGGATTGCTGTAAGCCCATTGACACATCCATCAACTTGCTGCTGTTCTCAGTGAAAGCCTGTTCTGTCTTCTCTTCTCTGGCTTCTTCTGTTTTTCCTATAGGGTGTTTTGTATGTTTGAATTTCTTTTGTGCTAAATGTAGATCATATTCTGGGGTTACTTGCTGACAACTGACTTAAAGTGTAAATTATAATGCTGGTATTAACTCCAAGCTTAAAAAATATATATACATGCAAGGAGAGTTCATAACACTGTGTGATGCTCTTCCTTCCTGGGATTTTGTATGTGTGAAGAGTTTGCACAGCTTCAAAAATACATGGAAGGGAAATAAACTTCACTTAAAAAAAAAAAAAAAAAAAAAAAAAAAAAACTTCCCGGAGGCAGCAGTGGTAGCTAATGAAATCTCTGGATGGCAAACAGCTGGAGTCAGAGTCTTTTTCTGGAAGTTCTGGCGCTGCATTGTTGCTCTGGTTTTGTACTTCTAGAGCAGTGTTGGATATAAGATCCAGACTACCTGGGCTTCCTGTTCACACTGGTGTTGCTGGTCTTTTCTGGCTAATTAACTTTGTGTTTGGAGAAACTGTTTATCATTCAGTTCTATTTTATGCCTGATTAAAATTAAGAATATAGAACTACTGTGATTTCTGGGTCAGTTTTTCAGAGCCTTTCCTCATTGGCAGCTGAGCCTCATGATCCTGTTATAAGCAATTCAGGCTCCCTTTTCAAATTCATTACATTGTTCATTCTGTTTCTGCCAAGAGGATGTTTCAGAGCCTCATTTTCCAGTGCTTAAGACCTTTCCTTTAATTTCCAGTTGAAATTTATTCATGGCCGTTTTATATCTATTTGTCCTTGTGCCAGCTTTGTTCTTCAGTTTGAGTAGCTCTCTGTCTTATGCAGTGTTTACTTCTCCACACCCCAGTGGGAGAGACTGGAGAACAATCAAGTCACCTTTCAGCCATTATTTTGCTAAAGTAACCAAACTGCAATATTCAAGCTCCTGAAATTTCTCTGCTACTCTGTTTGTTTTCTTAGCCCTTTTCTGCATCATTCCTTTCAAGCACTACACACAGCTGTTTGAGTGAAACCTGAAGTTCAAACCTTCATGCTTCCCCTTTGCCATTGGCAGTGACTTTCTGAGACCTGATCTTTCCTTTTCACAACTGTCACCCTATTGGGTCACACTTGTCCTAATCCTTTAATTGGCTCATCTATTCCAGGGTGTCTTTCTACTCACTTCCAAATTAGGAGCCCCAGCTCATAACAACTCTTATTAAACCCTAAATGCATAACCTTGCACTTTGACTATTACACTTCATCCCACCTCTATTGCTTCAGAACTCAAAAACATCCTGTTACTCCTGAAAGATAATCCAGACTCCCGACTGTTGGTAATAGCTCCTGACTTCACACCGTCAGCAGATTCTGTTGGTATGCTCTGACTTTTTGTGTCGAGGTTATTAATGAAAGGATAAAATAAGATCAGTCTCAAAATGTATCCTTGAGAACTTCCACGTCTGACCTCCCTCCAGTCCAATAATTTCTCTTTCTGTATGTCTCCTGCCACTGCCTCTTCAACTAGTTCTTCTCTCACCTTTGCAGTTCTTGTACTAATCCTCATTTTCTCCCACTTCACTAAAAATTTCCAGTGTGGCACCGTATCGAAAGCTTTATTGAAGAACAGAGAAACGAGATCTACTGTGTTTCCCTTGTCTAGAAAAATCAGTTATCCAAGAAGAACATTGAGTTAGGCTGGCTTGCTCTACTTTTTGTTAAGTCTGTTTTGTCCCTTAAACTCGTTCGATCCGTTTGGCAGTTTACACTCATGTATTTAATTATGCGTTCTTTCAGCACGTGTTCTAAAGCAATGCATACTATTGAAGTTAGCCTACTGGGTCTCAACCTGCTTATGAATACCTGTAGAGCATGTTCTGTAGGACACACAGAACACTTTATTACCTGTGCCAAATTGTCTCTGAATTGCAGTGAATTAGGAGATGAAAGGCACTGGTTTGGTTCCACTTTATTTCCCTGTAGTACTGTGTATGGCATGGACTGAGATGAGGCAGTGTCTAGGCTGCTAGTATGGCAAATGGGAAATCCAGCTAGCTACAGCTACAGGACTGTCATGTTGCTCAAAAAGTAGATGGAAGTTGAGAAAATTCATGCAGTAAATGAGGCGCCTCTTCTGTATGGATCCAAAAATACTTGTGCTCTTCCTTCACTCCTTTGCTGTTCAGGTGTGTGATTGATGCATCACCTAAAGCCCATAGAGACTACTGCAAAATTAGGCATGTAGTGTTTTCTGTTAAAACATGCATGTGAGCTTTGAAAAGAACTCTGGACAAAATTGTAATTTGTTTAGAGCTATTTACTTTGTCTCAAGTTGGGTATTTAAGAAAAGGCTGAGTGATCAGTGGGTGTAGCATATCCCTTTCCTGAGTGTGCAGAATGGCTGGCAGATGACAGTATTCTTCCCACCAGCTGAATGACTGCTGTTTGGGTGAAGTGAAGCAATGAGAGCGTGACTGTGTTTCCCCTGGTCGGTGGGATTTTAGTTGTTTGTTTCATGTTTTTTTGTTGCTTTTTTCCCCCTATATTTTTATGCAGATGTGTGCAGTTGGTAATTGATTTTTTTTTTTTAATGCTGGTGTTGAACTTTGTCAGATTCATTATGGAAGCATGATGTTAGACAAGGACATCAACCCAATATCAGCAAGAACCAGATCTTGAATCTTTCTTAGTCTCAGCTACTGCTACAACACGCAACAGACAGCAGCTTGATAACAAAAAAAAAAGAAATAGTAATTTTTTGCTGCAAGATGATAATTGGCTCAGTATGGAAATTAATGTGATTTTATTTGGGGATTGGTTTCTAAAGAGATTACATTTTAAGGAATCCATGGGCATGAAAGGTTTTGCAGCTGTATTTATTCAATAAGCTGTAGGCACTTTAGGCACTTGAAACTTGGCAGCAGTAAGCCAGGTTGGTGCATGGCTCTTCTTGCTCCAGCAGAACATGACTGGAAAGGGAAACCTTCTGAGTGGCTGGTAGGATGGAGCTTATACCATGTGGGGAATGAACATATCTCAGTGCAGATTTCTCTGGCTCCCATTTAGATTGGTGCTATGCTGAGTCAGGCTAGTTGGGTTGCTTACTTGTGCATTGAATTGATGTAAAGGTTAATAAAAAAAAACTCTGCTTATCTTTCTTCTGCTAGTACTCTTTAAGATCTATGGGGCAAGTCTCACATCACGTTAACATGTTTCTTATAAACCCTGATCTGAGTGGGGAACATTTATCTGCTGCTGCAGTACGAGACATAACTGTAAGAAAATGAAACTTATTTTCAGTTTAAGCAGGTGGGGAGGAGGATGGAGAGGAAGTTTATTTTGGAAAAATGGAGGAGGGAGTGGAATCTATTGGAAAATGCTGACATCCCAATTGGATGCAGAATTTATCTGCTGATGTAGGTGGAAGCATTGATGTCTGGAACGGGCGTATGCTGAGTGTGATACAAAGAAATGGTTCTAGGGCAGTAGTTTAAAGACTTGCTTCATTACTTTGGGTATGTGGCTGTTTCTTTACATTTAATGGTCACTACAAATCAGCGTAACGGTAAAGCTGGAGGGCTAATGGTCGTTTAGAATAACTGAGTCAGCTGCAGAAACTGGATTCTCTGCTGGTGTAAGACATTGCAGCTCAAACTGTCAGTTTAGACCAACTGCGAAGCCTGACCCAGAAGATCATGAAGATGGGGGTTAAAAAAATTATCAAAGAAACTGACATTTTTCCATCTTTCTTCTTTCCCCAGGGCAGCCATTGAGGCTCTGGCAGCTTTACTGAAATCAAGTAAGTTTTTCTTCATATTATGACTTTTCTTTCTGTGCTGTGCTGCTGGACGGAATGATCCTGTTGAACCTCATTCTCCTTTAGTATCCACTTCCCCCTAAATCCCAAAAAGCACTGCTTAATAAAAAGTAGTAGTTGCTTATATGTCTTGCAGTGCTTTTCAGCACCTCATGGCTCTGTGGACATGCGGATCTATGGGAGATGCTGTAGATCCCAAGAGCAAGTTGCTGAGGGAACCAAGTGAGATGCTTAGTTTGAATAATCAGGGAACAGTGGTTGTCCTGGTGTGTGGTACAGAGAAAAAAAAATGGGGAAAGCTGTCCAGCCAGTGAATAATGCTCACTGCTCTGCTCTGTCATTACTGAGAAACAGCTTGAAGACCTCTCTGTCCTGTGATGTTCTTGCATTGTGAGCTAACCTGGAAACAATAGTGTTATTAGAAAAGGCTTGGAAAACTTCAGCACTGCAGAAGGCATGACCTTATCCTCCCTTGAGATTTCATGCAGACCTAAAAGACAGGGCTGCAGCCTGTGGATTGCTAGGGCATAGCCAAGGCAGGTTGTGCTTGGCATCTGCACCAGCTGACTGTGGGTGCTGGAGACATTAACAGGGATTCTCAGTCGCGCACTGTTGTGTGACTGTTCCTGAAATGAACGTGTTACCCTTTCCTGCCTTCTTCCTATCCAAAAGCACTTACTTTTATTGCTAGAACTTAATAAAGCTTTGATTAAGAAAGAGCACTCTACTATTGCAGACTATCTACTCTCCAATAAATCACAATGGCGTATTGTCCTTCTTTCTCTCCATCCTTTTCTCCCCTTCCTCTTTTCCTTTTTGTAGTATTAGGAATAATGCATTTGTGAAAATCTGTAGTCCTGAAAGCAGTGCTTAAATGAGCAAATTGCAATGGGGTTGTCTCTGAGTCGCACCAGCTCAAGTGATGAATTCTGAAATGATGCTCCAGTATTAACCTTGCTGCATAGATTTAAAGGTCACGTTATTGCAACGAGGAAAGACCTTCTGCTTTGGGCACTAAATCTTAATAAGGGGGGTTGTGGGGCTATGCCACAGCTGCTTGCAAAATAAAAAGCAAAATTAGCATTTAGAATAGAAAGGAGTACACAGAGAAACCTAGAAAAGTGGAACAAGAGTTGAAAGCTCATAGGCAGCTAGAGCTTTTTTCCTCATGTTCTATGGCAGGCACCAGGAATGGGAAGTGAAATTCTGCTGGCCCAGGATGTTAAAAGTATTAGTTTACTATTTCAAGGCTTGTTCTGGGTCTAAAGATGAGGACGATATGGAGAAGTGAAGAACTAATCACTGAAGGAAATGGTAAAATGAGTTCTAAACCTATATTGTAAAAGTCCAGTGCTGTGTGGGGGAATCCTTTTGCGAGCTGAGGATTTTCTAGGGAATCTGGAAGGACTGGATTCAGCTCTGGGTTCTCCTGGTGATTTTTTTTTTTTCTTCTGTAGTGAAGTAAGTTTTTAAGGATATTTACTCTTAGAATAAATTTCTCTGTGGCTCTTCTCAGCCAATCTAGGTTCTGGAGACATCTGGGCTCTTTCTCTTATGCTTCTTGTATTTTAAGGACAAAGAGCAAAGCAGTCCCTTACATTGTCACTTGGGAGGATCACTGTGGTGTACAGTAGAGCCCTACAGCCTGCAGGGCAGCTTGTAATCTGCTTTCTGATGTTTTCTGCAGGCTGTTGCTCAGTGGTCAGAATGTCTTTTGGTTTTTGTCTTGTCCTGAAGCTCGAGAAACTAGAAGCTCCAGGCTTCTGGTGTAGCTGCACACAGCTTAACAGGCTGTGCCTTTTGGGAGGTGTGGGTTAGGAGATGTGAGAAACATCTCTGGTTTTTCCATAGTCAACATGGCAGGAGAAGAACTGAATTGTTTTTCCCAATTGGCAGCACAGCTTTGTTTATCACAGTTAACTTATCTATGCGTATGACCTTAGTGTTCTTAGAAAGCTGAAAATCAAATCTGATGAATGTTAGAACAAGTGCACACCTATTCTTGCTGGTCTCCCTGCAGGGCTGTTGGATTCTTAAAAGCTTCAGTTCAAAGCAGGCACAAGGGTTATGGTTCTACATGGAAGATATTGAGGAGAAACTGTCCCTCTTGCTTCTGGCAGCAAACAGCCGTGGAAGAAAACCCCGCATTTTTAAAGGGAGCAGGCAGATGGCAGTGTGTCTCCCTGATGGATTCTGAAATATCCCTCTTCATCTCCTCATGCTTCCTTAAGCTCTGCTTAAGACTTAGTTCTCCTGCAGAGCCAAGGCCTGGCTGGGAACTCTCTGGCCTCTGTCTCTTCCCTAACAGAAGCTGATGCAAAATGCCTGCTTAACAGGTGCATAATGCTACGTGTAAGAAAATGGTTTGGAGTAAGAATCATCAGGGGGGAGAGGGAGAGGAAAAGACACTGCAAATTTACCCTTTGTCCGCAGCAAAGAAGAAATACTTGCATACCCAGCACAAGACCAGAGGGATCTTGATTATCCTGTCCCCCTATGCATAAATGGATATCAGTGACAGTCACGGAGGTGCTGAATAATGTTTAGGTCACTTCCAACAAAGTGCCCTATCTTTCTATCAGTAGAAGCTCAGATTACAGATAGGGAAAAGATGTTTCACACCTGACTATCTGCTCTCACTCCTGACTTCTTATCTCTTTCTAAGCAATCCAGAGTACTTTCCCCATCCCCATGTGTTGCCCTCCTTGTTGCTGTGTGTCACTTGCCGTGCCCACGTACAGTCAGCGAGTAGCTTGTAGTGAAGCCTTTGTCTGCTGTCTCTTCACCATGCTGTTTTCTCAGTGGCTGAGCTCATTATCACATTACAGAAGGCTGGATATGCTGCTTATTAAATAGATGTAATGGTGCTGCATAACGTGATAGCATCAGGAGTCTTTTCTCTTGGATACTCGTCAAGTCTTCACTGGTGCTACCTCTGTCCATCCTTCCCCCAGTTTCTAGATATTTATTATAGCAGGTGAAGATACAGATAATCATAGAGAAATACAGGTAGAGCAAAGCACAGCATACTTCCCAGAGTCTCTTCTCCATCCCAGGGCACACCTGCTGTTTTTCCTGCTTCCTTTGGCTTTGTTCCACTTCTCTGCACATCTAAAAGCTATTGCTTTGGGTGAACTCGCCCATCCAAAATAAAAAAGACAAACTCTAGTTTTTGAGATGTAGAAATAAAAGGGATACCTGATGCAGAAGCGTGGACAGGCATGAAGTTGGTGTGATCCCTGCTGGACGTGGCACCTCGAGCCACACGATGGCGATGTGATTATAGGGAACCCCGCTCCCACCAGAGCTTAATCCAATATTTATTTTTTGGTGAGTAATTTGTTTATCAGCAGGTTATTTTAATCTCATTTTGCTTGTATTTGTTATTCCTGACTATCTGTACTTCCCAGAATTAGCAGTTTGCATGCCTCGAAGGAAATTAGCTAGAGCTGATCTCGGAGGCATTTGCTCAGCGGATATTGAAGGAAAGGGTTAGGGAAATGGGCAGAGCCCTTGTTGCAATGCTTGCCTAGTAAAATTGTAATGAGCAATTTAAAGAGACAGGTTGTGCTGACCTCCTGATCATGCCTCTTTTATCAAGACAATTCCGTGTGCGAACAGCAGTTATTGCAGATGGCCTTTCCCCTCTTTTTCTGTATCTTTACCTTCCTTCTTTTGTCGTCCTGATCCTCTTTTCTTCCCTTATTCCCCCCGGGCTTTCATCTCTCACTTCCTACTCTTTCTGCCTCATCTTCTGTCAACTAACCTTTATTTAACCTTTCACCCACTTTTTTTCATCAAAGCATAAGGATTATGTCTTGTGGCTGGCAGGATAAAATAATCAGTGTCATTCTTTTCCTTTTATGCTGGGGCGAGTAACTGTGAGGAACAGAAAGCAATGTTCTAGCACACATTACAGTTTGAATGGCCTGCACCCTCTATGCCTGAATTCATAATGCTTTGCAACAGATCTACTGAATTATAGGTCTTTGGTCTTGTGTCAAAGTAGACCTATGGTTAAACGCAGCGCAATGTCAGTGATTTGTCTAGTATTTTGCAAGGTGCCTGTTTCTCACAATCATTTTAAGACCTCATTTCCCACCTCTGGATTGAGACTCCATTATCAGTCTGGCCCCAAACCTATCATCAGAATTTGTGGGATATTGTGATCAGAGTTGAATTTTGCAAATAGCTTCCTAATCATCTAAAACAAGTTCTGTGTCTGTGCTTTCTTCCTGAGTTTCAGAATGCAGATAGTATCGATTCTGATTTTAAGCTTCTCCTTGAGAAGAGCTGTTCTATAAGAGGGGAAAAATGATTCAATCTCCTTTTTATTCCCTTTCCAAGACTGATGTTCATCTATAAGAAATGTCCCAGGTGAAGTCACTGAATTCCTTACAGGAGAAGGTTTGTTCAGCTCCTGGGACATGGCAGCTTCTTGCTGTTTTGCTCCTGAGGGTGGGTATGAAGTAGTTGAAGCATCAAGAAGTTGCACCGTTCTCTGCTGATATCTTAACAGTGATTGCTTACTGTCTGTGTCTTGGCAGTGTCTTTGTGTCTCCAGTGATGATTGGGCTTCAGAAAATTCAGTGGCCAAATTTTGGGAAATCTTCCAAATTCTAGCAGCCATGTCTAAACTTTCAAACCACTTTGAGGGAAAAAAAAAAAATCAACCTGGAAATTTCAAGCAAGAAGTATTTATTTTTTTTTAACTTTATTTTTTGGTTTTCTATTGGTTTACAACCTGAAGATGCTTTGAACTGGAAAATAAAGGAGGAAAAGGAATCTTTTTGAAGATAGCTTTTCTTCTGAGGTTAGTTAAATTTCGGAAGGATTTGGCTTGCTTTCATATACATATACATAGAATGGAACAAGAATCAGTTAGTGAAGAATTGCCACCTCATGATACAGTTTATATGATTAGTACTTAACAGTCCAAAACCTGGAGCTAGAAAGACTTTCAGAGTAGAACAAATGAGCTGTTCTTGTGCTGATGTTAAGCTCACAACATACAGTGTCTCTGCACCTAGACCAGGAACCTATATGTGCTAGCAAATCCTGCCTCTAGCTTTGTGCAAGTGTTAGACTTCTATCCTAAATGCTCGAATTAATGCTTTGATTCTCAAGGATGCCAGTGAAGTTTATGGCACAGAATTAGTCTTCTGCCTTCCAAGATAGTTGTCTAATACCAACTTCTTGCTGGAACTCTACAGCCTACCATGTATGGATTTATCCCAGAACTGGATGGGTGACAACATTTCTCTGAGGACAACTCATTCTGTTTCTGTAGGGCACTCTCATGTTCCTCTCCAGCAGAAAATGGTCTCACAATGGCAGAGTAGAATAGATGTTCTCACTTCACTTGCATCTTTTATTGCTAAGAGACAATGACTGGAGAAGAGCAGGGAAGCTGAAGATTTTCTTCTTCCTTTTGTTCCCTTAGGGGCCATAGGGTTAATCTAGCAGAGCGTTTTTATCTCCAAACTGTAGCAATATATGCTCGTGGCATAATGAATCAGCTGAGTGGCATCAACAAAGAGATTTAAGTAGATAGACGGAAAGATAAATCTCTTTGTTCTGCCTGGTAAGCAGTGCATTGCTCATCATATTTCAGGTTGACTGTAATTCTGTTCTGTGATTAAAAATGCTGCATGTTTTCCAGTGGTCCCTGTGTTCTTGGCAAATGCTTCTAAAGGACTGGCGTACAAGAGAGAGCCTCATAAATGCTCCCCTTTTGTGCCAAAACCCCACTAGCAGTCCTAAGTCTTATCTGCTAGACTCAAAACCTGGCTTTCATCTGTCTTTGACCCCCCTGCAAAATCAGAATTCTTTCACGACTGTGGATTTCTTTGTGATGTGAGTCCCTTGCTATCAGATGCACCTCTCATTTGATAATGACACGTGGCTGTGCATCCGTGTCACATACTGTTAACTAACTGATTATTCGGCCGGATATTCTGTCACTATAGCAGAGAATATTTTCATTGGTTAACAGCACTGCCCTGGAAGCCAAAAGTGGTTGATCAGTTCTAAATGAGTGGGGAAATAAAGAAGACATTGGGTATTCCCTTATGCATGCCTGGGTGCTCCTGGAAGCTACCTAGAAGGAGAATTTCTGTTTCCACTGAAAACATTGGCGCTGTGCTCAAGGAAGAGGAAAGGGACTAACAAAATAATAACAAAAAGGGTCAAAAGGCATAAAATGTTTTGCTGCTTATCCTACACAGATCATGCATACTCGCTCCAGGAGGGGTGGGTTCTTGCTGCCTACAAATCTGTGCAGCTCTGCTTATACCTGTATGATTCATTTCCACCATCTGTATTTGTGCCAACGTATAGACAGATACACATGCAGGTGCAGCCCTAGATGGAGACACCAACAGACACAGACAGGTGGGGAGGCCTTCTTTTTCTGTTCTGCCTTCTGGAGATATTGGCATACTTCCTCCTTCGTTTATTTGATACTTTTTTTTTTGACTGTACAACTGAAAAAATCTGGAAGAGAAAAACCAAAACACTGGAAAAAAAAACACACAAGAACAGAAGTGAATCAATGGAATGAGAGGAAGAAAATGAAAGCTTTCTTTCCCTTCCAGTTAATTCTCATTGCTTTTGATGAAAGTGCTGGCAAAGTATAATCCTGCCTCTCCTATCTACTTGCAGAACTGTCTATCTCAGCTTCTCTTCCCAAAGTGACCATTCTGATCTTAAAGGAGATAAGCACAGGAGAATACATGAGGGAAGCAAATAACAAAGCTGTTTTGCTCAGCTTTCTCAGTGCTTTTCATCCAGTAATAAGACTGAGGCATTGAGACAGCTGTCTTCTGGTCCCGTGGACTTGGGATCCAAACGTGGAAGCCTTGAAGAAAGTAACTCTCCTTAGGAAGAGAGCAGTGATGCCTTGCAATAGGCTGCCCAGACACATGGTGGAGTCACCATCACTGGAGGCTTTTAAGGAGAGGGTAGATGTAGTACTGACATGGTTTAGTGGGTGGTGTTGATGGTAGGTGGGCAGTTGGACTAGATGATCCTTTCCAACCTTAATGTTTCTACAAAAACCACACGAGCACATCTGATAAGAATTCTACTCAATTAGCTTCCCCAAGCAGCTCTGCCTGCAGTGCTTTCCAGGTATTTCCCTCACCTTACTGACAATGACACAGAAAGCTTGGACTTCAAGGAGTGAATGCTAGGGCTGTAAATCCTTACTTCTAGTCCAATTTCATCTGCCTCTGAACAGTTAAGGGAGGCTCTGAGCCTGATCCAAATTGTCCCTACCTTACACTGCCTGACTCTTCTTGTCATGTTTTATACACTTATTGACTTTTACAGAGCTCTCTGAGTAATTCTTCAAGGAAGATTGACTGATTTAAGGGGTAAGTCATCCTGCAGGTTAGTAAACATGACAGCTGGTTGAGGATTAGCAGGAAATCATGAATAAAGTAATTGATAAAGGATTCTCAAGCAATTAAAGTTTTCTAGCAGAGAGTCAAAAAAAAAAAAAGAAAAAAAAAAAGGAGAGAAAAACGGAGTGAAGGTCAAAGAAGGTGGTTAAGCTAAAAGTCTGACAACCACGAAGCCCCAGAATACAAGCTGTATTGGTAGATAGTGTGAGAAGGTTAACAAGGGGAAAAAGGGCTGCACAGAGATGCAGGCCACAGCGTAAGTGTCTGGGCACAGCTGTGCATAAGGTATAAGAATGGAATGCCAGCGTGACATGCGGAGGCATCAACAGTGTTGTGTAAAGATGCAAATCAGGGTTAAAGCGAGGGATTTTTTTGGTGGGACGCTGTCACCTGCCCTGCGATGGCAACGGTAGAGAAAGCTGCAGGGCAGGGCCAGGTAGCTGCAGAGCTACCCTCCAGTCCTTGGTCTGGGGAAGAGTTTGCTGATGTACTGTAGAGAGCAAACTGAGATGACTGCAGGTAACTGCCTTCCCCTTCCCAAACTCTTCATCTGTTTCATTACTGGGATCTGGGTTGGCTACGTGTTACCTACTTTCTAGTCACTTTCTCTGTGGGTTCCTTGCTACTGATTTTCTTCATCCATCTTTGCCCTTTTTTATTCTCTCTTTTCCTGCCCTGTGAATCCTTGCTGATTAATGTTCCAGGTGTGAGAGGTTCTGGCACTCTTTTTAATGGACTGGAAATGAATTGGAGCCTACTAGCTCTGGAGAATCCATACTAAGAGCCATCTGTTGTGAGCTGCAAACTCTGATCGGTATTCAAGGAGTTGAGCTCCAGTCTCACATATGCTACCTTGGTTCCTTGGTTGATTGGTGAGCTCCTGACAGCTTCTAATGTGTTATCACAGCCAGAAATGTCAGGACCTGTTGGGAAAGTGTGTTTAGGCAGGGTTAGTTTGAAGGGAGGGAGCCTGGGATCTGGGATGGTTTCATGTTTGTCCTGTGGGGCAGGGCACGAGCACAGTTGGTGAAGGGCTGTGCTGCAGAATGCTCATATGGAAGAATTCATATTTTATCATTTTATCACCAAGTTTTCTAATCTTCTTTGTGGAGTTCTGTATCCTAGAGCCATATGATTAAGCGAGCATCACATCTTTCCTTTCATATTTTTTTAATAAAACTAGCTTTCATTTTTGAAAGTATCTTTTGAGCTTTGTTGTAAAACCTTCAAAAATGATCTGAACATTCCCTTTAATTTTTTTTCAAAACCAGGAAGCAGCAGAAAAGAGCCCAAAATGCTGTTCATGTTGGTATTTTGTTAATTTTTATATACTGGGGGTTTCATTTTGTCTCACGACGTTAGGAGACAGGCTATGATTTTCCAGAATAATTTGATTCATGGCTTTCATTATAGAGGTATAAGTGAGAATGTATTTAGAAGTTAACAGTTGACAGGATTGTGCAGCTACAAGGTTTGTGTGTTTGTTGATCTCAGCAAGGTGTTCTGTCAGGACTAAAATACAGACACTCTATGTGAAGAGCGTGTGACCTGCTGTCAGCTAATCTTATTGCTTGGCTTTTCTCACTCCTCAGGAGTTTCTTTAGTTTCAGGGACACTTACAGTGCTGTGATCTGGATTAGGTTTATTAGCACTTGGAAGGAGATAAGGGCTGTGTGCCTACCCCAGCTTTGATTTGCTTAAAGAAAGCCTTCATTCTTTTAGTCTGACCGTTTCCCCTTAGATGTGAGACATTTTTTTGTAATTCCAAGAACATAACTCATATTTAACAAATAATGTCTTAAACTGCAACAGCAACAAAAGATTTAGCTTTGTCCATGAGGTGAGGAAGAGGTGTTAAAGTCTGAGTTTATAAGCACTGCGTAGCCATGTGGCTGTCAAATAGAATGAGCAGCTGAAAGAGTTTAATTCATCCTTTTCTCTTTCCTTTCAGAATCTAACAGCCGACAAGCAGTGAACAGAGGGTATCTGAGTGGATTGCTGAGACTCTATCAAGACTGGCATCACAATGATGTCTCCAACAACTACATTTATATTCGTAGAGGTCTCCTGCTCTGCCTAAAGCACATCACCAACATCCAGCTGGGCAGGGAGACTTTCCTTGGTTCTCGAGGTATGGAGATTCTCTTCACAAGTGTGCAGGTAAATGGTGCTTCTGTGCTTAGTAAAATGGATTGATAGTTAGCTATCTCTCAGTGGTAGTTAGCACTGCATCCTATCTCTCAGTGTAAATATGTCTTGAAATCTAGACATTACATCCTGCAAGAAGTTCTGTCATGAGTGAAAAATGATAACGTCAAAATAAAAATTATTGACCATTTTCAGTCTGATGAAAATGTTCCCATTTAAAACTAATATTAATCCCCACTGAGCCTCACAGGAGTTATAGTCCAGGATTTTTAATGTTTATTTTTTCTCCTCCATCATATTGCACTCTGTGCTTGGATATTCTCTCCCAAAGTGCAGTGCAGAGTTTCCACAGAAGAGTTAAGGTGTTTCATGACGTGTTTTCTTTCAGGTATCCTAGGTTTGTATCAGATGGATAATTCCACTAAATCACTTTTCTACCAAAAAGTGTTGATTTAGCCAGGCTTTTGTTAAGACAAACATCAATTAGTTGCTTTTCAGTAGGCCCAACTTTAACCTTGTGAAACATTAATGTAGTTCTGTCAAAAAAAAGATCCTGAAGATGGGACCCCTGTAAGATGTAGAAAGGGCTGATATAGAACAGTAATGTGCTCCTCCCTGTCTTTTGCCAGCATGCTTCCTTTAGAGAAATATTGTATAGAAGCCTTCAGTTCTTGACATGGGCAATTCCACAAGGGTTATTTCTACTGCAATTCTCAGTGGTCGATGCATTAACTCATTCCATCATATACAGGATGAAAACCTGTCCGCTTTTCCTCTATCAAATATATTGCCTTACAGTCCATCTGCTCCTTCATTGTTTCCGTTGCTATCATGAGTAATTCTCTTGTTACAGAGATATTTCTAACCAGCAGTAGGAAATAGAATGACAAAAGTTTGTTTTCGTTTTGTTTTTTTCCTCCTCCCCCCATGCCTTCCCTTCAGGTGGAATGAGGTGGCCAAGCCAGCAGAGCTTTCAGGGAGTATCAGCTCTTTATTGCCAACACCTTGATATGCAGAAAATTGAGTAGGGAGTGTGGTAACAGCTGCTTGGGGGTAGATGTCAGCTTATTCTCTCTCAGGTGCCTTCTACAGCCCATGTTTTTTTCTGAGCTAACATCTCCTGATAGCTCAGCCTAGGAGCAACACCATGAAAAGTGCAAACCTGGGGTCACCTTGGGTGAATAAAAAGGAAATGACACACTAAGTATGCAGTGAGCACTGAGAAGGCTAATCTGTCCAAAGGTTAGAAGTGGAGCGGAAATGACAGCTTCAGGGGCCTCTCGTTTATTCTCTTCTGCTCTTTGCTACTTAGGTTGATTTTGGAAGGGGAATTACCAGAGTTAATAGGCTCAAAGCTCAGCATTTGCTCTGTTCTTCTTTGTTGTACTGTCAGTCTCTTCACAAGATGTGGAGCAGTAGGTGTCTGGCACCTGTAAGATCTCACTCTTCTGGGATCTGACCGAATGTGGAGACTACTGCTGCCACTGAAAGTTTATCAGCATCTTCACAGATGATGAAATAAAAAGAGATACTAGAGAGAAAATGGGAAATTCATCTTCTAAGAGGAACTGCAGGCTTCGGAGAGAAAAAGACCTAGACAATTCCTGCTTGGGAAGGCAGTGGTTCTTTATGCAGACAACATTGTAATGCCTTTAGGAATGTGCTGGCTGTGGCGTTTAGTTTTGAGCAAATTGACCAACTAATGTGATTTTGAAGGTGGTACAGGCTGGCTAGAAAAGTGCTGCTGAGACACTTTTTTCCCCTTTATCTATTGAAGTCAAAAGAGCTCTGCTGGGATGGATTTGTTATGACAAACCCCAGTGAAGCCCCCATCCACAGGGCAGGTTTTCAACTGAACCCTCTCCAACCGCTCGTGGTATGGACTGTCAGACAGCTGAAGTGCCTGGGCTTGTGTGGGTGTCCAGAATACCTGAGCTTACACCTTTACAGACTTCAAGCTTACCATGTGCCCACCCCACACTGTCGGGGCAAATCCAGACCCAGTTCCCCATTGCTTGGGGCTGGGGGTACGTGAGGAGTCCAGAGCAGCTGCTGCCCCCCCTTCCCCTCCTCTTTATCTATGAGGATGTAACAAGCTGTAGCCCAATATGTAGTATGAATACAGGAAAGAACCTGTTGTTCTAAGACTATTTCCTTGCACTGACTGGGACAAAGTGCAACTTGGTTTGTGGAGAACTTGGAGAAAAAAATTGTGTTCCACTCCTACCTGAAATGAAAAATAATTTTAGACAATAAAATAATTTGTGAAAATGAAACACTTCCTACTTCCATTTCTTCTTCCAAGCCTTGCTTAGATTGCAGTGGCAGTTAAATAGTTTCCTCACATCAGCAACTGTCAGGCTTTGTGCATGCAGTGACTGACAGCTGCCTACTCTGAGACAAGAAGACTAGTTTGTGACTGCTTTAGGAAAGACCATAGTATAGACCATTCTTTTGCTATTGTATCATCTGCCCGTGTGATTTCTTAAGCTCATCTGGTATGTAGAGTCTATTCTAAGTTAAGGTTATTCTGTATTCCCTTCTATGTTTCCTATTAGTATAATTATCTTTTACCTTGATGTAATTTCTAAGCCTTTCTATAATATCTTGGTAAGACTACTACAGATTCTAAGGAAAAAAGCTTGACTACAGAAACTCAAAGCAGATTCCCTGAATTCAGGTTAGCTGTTCATGGGGTTTCTGGGCTAAGGAATCATTCTGTTCCCTCATTCACTACAAAATAAATAGGATAGTTCACATGCAAACAAAGAAATCAGTCACCTGTAAACCATGTGATGTTGGAGCCTCAAAGCAATTTGTGAACAGTAATGAAAGTAGTCCAAAATATTCAATTTTCTATCTGAAGGCTTGTTAACATCTGTAAATTAATTTTCTGTAAAGAAAAGCACTACTTTCAAACAGTGTTCTTGAATAATTCCTCTTGTGGAAATTGTCAGTATGAAAATGCCCTGCTCTTGACTTGCTCAGTTCACGTTGAAATGAATTAAGATGGCTGTAGCCAACACTCACTGTGTTCTAGTAAAAACAGAACAGTTTTCCTTAGTAAATGCTAGCATGTAAACTATATAGTATAGTAAATTATAGTCAAGACTCTTCTGTCCCCACATGCAAACTTTCCTTTATCTTTTCTTCAATAACAAGTGAACTTAAGACACCCAAATACCATATGAATGGGTGAACTTGAAATAGAAACCAGTTTCCTTGGCTTTTGCTCTAACTGCTGTAGAATTTCCTTGGAGATGCTTTCAAAATTGTTTTTTCTCACTCTTGTTTGTAACAGCCCGAGATCCAGAAATACATATTAAGATTCTTGTAGCGAGTCCTGTAAGCATGTCAGCTTTAGATGATTTTTCTAGTCTCCCTACAGGAATCCTAGTTAATCCCACTGAATCTTATAATGCTGTTCAATCATACATGAGAAAACAGACTAAAATCCTGTACAACAACAAAAAAATAAAGAAAAAAAAAATCAACCCAGCTATTTTTCTGTTCTTGCTTATTAAAAAGGGCTTTATGTTCTTCTGACTCTTACTGAATCTGCTGAATTCTTGTCCAGCCAGCATCCTATCTATGGACTGTGAGACAGTAGCACTGCGTATTCTTGCCCTCTGCTCTGTACCATTTTATCTGTACTGAAGTGAGGCCAAAATTTTTAGATGATATTAGAACTTATTTTAACACCCCTCTTTAGACATACAGCACATTCATGCTGTTTGAATTGCATTCCTGTTCTGATGGGCTAAGCCTCAGTCCCAAGTTACTACATATATCAGCTTGCTGGTAAGCATGGTACAACTTGTAAACTTAGGAAGGATGCTGCATAGATTAGTCAGTCTGGTGAAGGCTGTGGTGTGGGTACAATATATACATGGTATTTGGGGAAATGTAAAGATTTTGGAAAATAAGGTGGTTTGGTTTTGTGAACATTGCATGTGTTTAGGCAATGTGCCTTTGGGCAGCAGCATTACTAAGTTATCTAAACTGCCTGTCTGTTATATTAAAGGTGCACATGTGCCCCTCTGGTAGGTTCTTGTTACAATAAAAATAAGATGTCCAGCTAGGAAATTCATGCGTGATTCACAAACAGTAAGGAAAGACAAAAAATAGAGACCAAGTAGTTAACTTGTCTACGGTGAAGTAATAAATACAGAAAAAAAAAAAAATTCCAGATTTTTAAAGTATATCCGGGCTCTTATGGCTCCTTATGTTTCTGTTTTCTACATTGGATTGTAAGAGTAGATTTCAGATTCTGAAGGAATTCAGTATCTTGTGACTAGGTGATATATGGTGTTCTTTCAAGCTGTTTGGTCCAGTGTTTAACCATATAGAAGAGAGTACAGCAAGTGTTCTCATTCAGAGAGTGCACTCAGGAAAATGATAAGATGGTGAAGCTGTCCTGGCTTACCTGTGTTAGTTCTGCCATAGTAGCTCTGGAGATAGCAATAACAAGGATACAGAAACACAGATTTTGTCATGAATTGACAGTCAAAATTCAGTATCTCTGCAAGACTTCATATCTGCATGAAGGAATTTATCTCTTCAGTGCTACTGTTTATACCTTTAATGGATCACTCTTAAGTATGCTCTGACTTGAATGTCTAAGAGCAGAGAGGGTCTCTTAAATGAGGATAGAAATCACCTGGGAACATGTATTTCTGTAGGAAATAGACTCCAGAACTTGATTTTTTTTTTTTTTTTTTTTTTTTTTGTAAATGGAGAAAAAAACCCTACATGATAGTAATGCTTTGATGTTCCAATCAGAAGAACATTTCTAGGAGATCACATGCAGTAGGCAGGGCGATCATAAGAGACACCGTCTTTCTTAATATTGTTGTTCTTTTGTTCTTAGGACTGTTTATCTTGCAAGAATCTGGATCCAATTGTAACCACTGTGACTCAGATTCTACGAAAGTGCTATCCCAAGGAGCCTCTGCCTCTGGTGACAGTGAGAAGCTCCTATTCCTTCCCTCTTCCTGGGAACATCAAGACCGAACGTCCGTGTATGGGATCTGAAGATAAACTGTTAAAGGGTGAGTTTGGTAGGAGGAAACGGAGCATGATAGGAGAATTAAGTGTAGTGTCTGGGGAAGGGAGTCTTATCTGCCTTATCCTGAGGTTTGTAGTTAAAATTAGTCTGGATTACAGTGATACTCATTAGGGATAGAACCACCCCCACATCTTCTTGACGCTTGGAGGTTCTGTTTGGAGAATAAATGAGAAAAGATTAAAATAAATGGTGGAAATAGTATAAGTAAATAAATCCATCTGTGATTCAAAAAGTAATGGAACAGAATGAGCGTGGCAGAGGCTGGGAGCGCCACAATTCCATGACAGCAAGAGAGATGGAGGCAACTGCCTGTGCATGGCTGTGGGGATAACACTGCCTTCTGGTCTTCTCAGTAAATAATTTTGGGACGTATTATCCTTTCTCCTTTCTAAAATAAAAGCAGATAGCAGGCAAATTACTTGAGTAAATGATGTGTCTCGGCACTTGCTGGAAATAAGAACTCAGGCACAGGCAGAACAGCCACTCCACAGAAACAAAGAAACAGTAAACTCTGTGATATGCACAAGCAATTTCTCTGTTGCTTTCAGTTGCACATGGAAGATACTCAGATACTGTAATGATGATAGCAGTAAAATACACTAATCTAGATAATATAGATTAAGAGCATCCTGTAATGTCGTTGCAGCCAAGGAGAAAATCTCTATGGCTTTGTAATAAGAGTTGGATCCGTATCATGGTGATATTTGTCATGGTTTTGAAAAGCAGTGCTTGATTCCAAGCAAGTAGAGCTTTAAAAACTCTGAGATTTAGTGCCAAATGCATTTATGCCAGATTAAGAAATGGGATCTGCTTTAATCAGGATTGTGTTGGTTGGAAGGCATGTGTGCCACACATGAGATGGCACGTATTGCTGTGGAGGGCCTGAGAGGGATATTAGATTGAATGCATTTGCCTGTATCTCTCTTCTGCAGATGATAATGAAAGTGATACTGAGGAAGACATGGAAAAAGACCTGAATAAAGATGATGTGGAGGGTAAAGAGGAAGTAAGTATGTAAATGACAGTTGATTTATTATCCGTACACTGGAAAATAAACTGTTGTCCATTTTGATATCCTGATAAATCGTCTAAACAGAGAATGTAGATATATGTGCTCCACATGGGTATGCTATATGAATAATAGAATAATAAAAGGCTAATTGGAAGATGGAAAAAGAGAAAGGACTGTCTTTCAGCGAAGAGTCCCCTGCATTTATCCTTCTAATTAACAAGCTTATCACCTAATCAAGTCTAGCCCTCCTTTTCTTCCCGTATCAGAGCATAGTTGGGCTATACGCCTATTGTAAAAAAAAGATTAACTCATTTAAGCTATAGGTGAGGCATTTGAACCTAGATACCTTCATCATCTGCTGCTGCACACAAATAATAAGGTGCAGTATTCAATACCTCTGGTTTCTCCCTTTGCACTCTCTCTGCCATGACCTCACTGACAAAACAAATGAAAGAAGAATAGCCAGCAGCTGAAGATGAGTGCAGAAACTTTTGTTCTGAGGACACATCTAAGTTTATACACAAGTGTGAAGTATTATATTCCAGGGAAAGTGTTTTGGTTTGGGAAGAAACAAAGTTGCAAACATAGACTACTTAGATATGATTGAGACTTCTGTGGAAGGGCCATTTCATTTGTTGCCCTGTTTTTCTCCAAGTATTAATTTGATTTGTCACACGATGAAAAAAAGGAAGTATAAAAACTAACAAAACAACAATGAAAACCCTACCAGTAGCTCGGCATCCTAACTTGTCCCTGTCTGTATTTTTTGTCTGTATTTTAGAGCTCATCAAGATGCTCATTAGGAATAAGGCTCACTGAGAATTTATCTCCTCCTTTAATTAGTTATTCGTTCGGAAGCAGATCCTATGTGCTTCAGTTCTGTTTCATTATTCATATGTATGTACCAAGCTGAAGTGAGCATTTTTTTTGGTGGTTTTTGCCTAAGAGTTTGCTCTGAATATGAGTTTTAACTACTATCTGTTTGGTATGTTGGTTGTATATCTCCCATGATGAAGCAGGGAATAAGTAATGAACTTTCAGTGTACCTTTCTCTATGAGATAACTTTTGAACCAAAACTTCATTTTGGTTCTGAAATCTGATACAGAGAGTTGCACATAGATGCATGGTTGCTTTTAAACATGAAAGATTCAGATATAATTCTTATCCTTATTTCAATGATAACTATCTAAAAGTTTGTTTTGCTGGTTGTTTTTTTGTTTGTTTTGTTTGATTGTTTGTTTGTTTGTTAGGGATAAAGTACAGAATATTGATTGGGCAAGAGTTTTAAAGCTGTGTATCAACAACGTTGAGGGAGAAATGTAAAATATGAGCAATTGATTCCTGCAAACTCTGATGCTGAGTTGGGCCATTCTGTTTAATTAGAGATGTCATTTGGTTGACTAAATCAAAGGTAGAACTGTCAAGCTTTCCAATTTTGCCAGTAGCTTGTGAGGCCATTTTTCTTTGATGTATTATTGGGATTTTCTTGGTAAATACACTTTTTAAAATAATATTGTTTCTTTGAATCAAAATGTTACCAGCTGTGTCTGGAGAACATACACCTATTGGTTTGCACAACATAAGGGAAATTGTTGATGTGCTCTGAAACAACCAGTAGCTGTTGATGTCCCTTGTTATGGATCCTCTCAAGCTGACATGCTTATAAATAGGTGCAAGTATAAGTAAGTGGGTCTTAGATACTTTTTTAACTGAGTTTTTTCACAGTATTTCCAGGTATGTTCCTATACAGCAAAATTCCAAATTTCCCTTTTTCACAATCTAGTCTCTCTTTTTGTGCCTCCATCTTCCATTATGTTAATTGAGTTTACAGCCCTCATGAATCTGGGGGGAGCAGTTGTAGGATCCAGTATGGTAACGGAAACAAAGAATGTTATGCAGAATATTACTTTTACACTCATGTATAAGTACATATGGGTCATGTTAAATATGCACATATTTTTCTATCTCTGTTTTTGTAGGATTATGACTTGGAGACAGATGTAAACAAATTGAGGTCAAGGCCAGGGCTTGACCGGCCAGAGGAAGAGCTTGGGCAATATGAAGCTATGTGTCCAGAACTTTCCCATAGTTTTCAGGTACAGTCATGGCATGACTTCCTTCATTTGTGAATATTCATGAAGTTAAGAATTACTTGAGAAGGAATGCTGACAATAGATAACCAGGCAAGACTATTGCAAAAGCAAATCCAGGTGTCTTATAGGGCTGGAAAAACAAAGATTAAGACCTTTTGCTGTAGTCTATTGGCCTGAATCAAGAATAATAGAAAGAGAATGATGATGTTTGATGCACATTTGGCTGGCTATGGATTAACTAAGTGCTACTGAATCAATTGCCACATGAGAAATATGTCAGATAATAATTTGTATCCTTGCTGGCAATTTCAACATCAATATCAAGATTGGAATGAGATGTGGAAAATAAATACTATCAACTAGTGGTTTGAAAGAAGTGATGGAGAAGATTGCACTGCCACTGAAATGCACCATTCAAATTGCTCTATGGTAATTTGGGGCAAGAAAATGAGGAGTATTGCGCTCATTACAAGTTTCAGAGTGAATTTAGGAAAGCTGAAAGCTGTGATTCAAATATGAAAATGGAAAAAGGACCATTGGATGATTGTATCTCCTATCCGTAAAGTGCTGTCAGGTTTATTGTGTCCATAAGTAATTAAATGGGATTAAATTATAGTTTTGCATGAAGACAGGGGTGGAGTTTCTCTGGAGGAAGGCATGATGTGTCCTTAAGTTTCTTTTAATTTCTTCTGCTTTTTAAATTTAAAGGAGCTTGATTCAGAGTCTGAAGAAGACAAGAAGTCAGAAGACAGGACTGAGAATCTTCCCTCCACTTCATCTCATTTCATTCCAAGTGGTAATTCTGTGAAAGATCCAAACCATAGATGGAGGACCCAAAGTGGCACGGAGGCAGGATCAGATCCACGGGAGAAGGATTTCAAAGCTTCACTGCAGAGTTCAATAATGAAGGAGAAATGCTCAAGGAGTCTGATCAGTGAACAGAGAGAGATTGTAGAAGCAGTCCAAAATGCAAACTCCTATGAAGAAGACTCAGCCAAGAGTCATACATTTTCTCCATGTCTCCTCCCAAAAGAGGCTGCTTGGTACAAAAAAATATTTAACCCTGAGTGTGAGGCTTCAGTTGAGCCTAATTCTGGAGTCAGATCAGAGACCACAGAAATAATGACAGACCTTCTGGAGGAACACCAAGGGAGTATTCCATTTCACAGCCCTCACTTCTACATAGCCAGGGCCAAATGTACCAAGTCCATACCAGCCTACAGAGACTTGGCATTCCCTGATTTCTGGGGCCACCAGCCTCCTCCTTACGGCACGCCCATGTTGGATCGGCAGTATGGAGTTCAAAGGTGATCGTGCTTTAATATGATCAGGTTTTGACTGTCACATCTCTGAGTTACCTAGGAAGTTATAGAGCAAATGTTGGACTGTTTGCCACAAGAAGATAGGCCACAGATCAGGATATTTTTATTTAGGTTTTACATCTGATTGGATTGGGAATGGGATTAGAAACCAACAGGTCTGTTTCTGATATTGACGTCCTGGCTGTCAGTGGATGAATGGTGAATTTACCTATGCATTGCTTTCTTTGTCTGGCTGATAAAGGTGGCAGAGGCCATGCCGGAGTGAGACTTTTATGGCTTCTGTGAGTCCATAAACACTCACCTATCTCATATTCTAAGCTGCTATTGATTCATCTAGCTATCAATAAATATACCAGTATCAGTGTAGCTGTGTGTGTGATGAGGCCCAAAGCTGCTCAGAGCACTCAGAAACATCTGTGAGTGCCTTTTCTTTAAAGCAGACAGACGAAGACCCAGAATTATGGCATGCAACATGATGGAAGAATGAAAATGCATCTTCCCTTTGGCACGTTGCTAGAGGTTTCTGTTCTCTTGTCATTTCAGGTGTACAGTGCAAAGGAAAGCTGTACTTTAATGCTGTTTTGGGAGAGGAAATTTTCTTTGTAACCACACTTGTTACTTTTCCATCTGTGACTGTGTGCAATGAGTTTGCATTTCATTTTAGTGACAGAGGGGTTTATAACCAAACAACAAAGAGGTTGAATGTACAGGTTGTTACTCTGAGCTAAACTTTAAAGGTGATGAACACTAACCAAATGGAGTTTGTGAAGAGGCACTATTTTCTGACATCTGGAGGGAATTCTTTCTGTAGCAAATACAAAAGCTAAAAGTCTTATTTAGTGGCAAATTCATGAACCCATCTTCTTGCAGTGTTGCTCTAAGAGCTTTGCTTTTGTGATTGTAATAATGTGTAACTGTACAGCTAAAATGGGAATAATCATATTTTGCTTCAGGGCATAACATGATTGCTGCAAAGGTCAGGAAGTAAATCTGGCATTCCACATTTGATCTTCTTTTGGGATCAGAGAACCTCAGTTTAATAATGAGTAGAAATTAGGCTGATTTGGAGTGAAGATTCACTGGGAGACAGATGAGTGGGTTTGAAAGTTATGACAGATATTTTCCTACAGGGGCAAGTCTAGCCAGTTGGAGGATTGAGATTGACTGGAAAGAAACCAGGGATAAAACAGACTGGATAGAGTACTGCAAAGAGTAAAAATTTGTGTAGAATAAGTTGTTTCATTCAAAAGGCAACTTGTGGTAATGGAAATGGAATGTGAGCTTTCTCATGGTTAAGTAAATAGGTAAATACAGGTGAAGTTCATGTGGAATTAGCTGAACTCATTTTTCTTACCAGTCCTTCAAAAGAATTTTTAAAGCTTTTTCACATTTCTTCTAAATTACCTTTACTGAGTCTTCTCACAGTGTCATGACAATTTGTGTTTTTTTTTTTCCTCCTTCTTTTTGTTAGGGACAAAGTACTTGATGATGTTCGTCGCTTAATCCAGCCTGGTGATTTGATAGGAAGAACTGTTTTTGATTTAGATGAGCCCAGGTGGGTAAACTAAATACAGAGTATTGTGACTATTGTAACTGTCAGTGCTGCTAGTGAGCTCTATTTACTTGGTTAACCTCAGATAAAGATATGCAAGAAGTGATGTAGGAGGCAAGGCCCAACAGGAAAAGTTTACTGCAGGACTAGATTCCTGGCACATGGCCCTGGGGAAAGGATTTGCTTTGAAACTGACTGCAGTTTTGTCTGATCTGTGGACTTCTTGTCTGCCCAGTACTATGTCTTATAATGGAAAGCTTGTATAGAGCTGGCTTGTATCATTAATGAACTAGTGGGAATAAGTCAGGGGTGAAAGTAACTAGAATGAAGAGAGCAAAAAGAACTGGGACAAAAGTGATTGCTGGGAAAGAAAAAGAAGATGAAATTTAGAATTGTTAAGCAAGAGTCAAGAAGGATGCTGGAAGGAAGATTATGGATTTGCTTATCTCTTGCTTCTTCTCAGGGTCTTGCTTATGAAGAGCTTATGAAAAACTGTATTAATATACAAAAGGTGGTGGGATGGACTTGTCTTTGAAGCAACCTGCTTATTTGGTATCTTTGCTTTGATTTACTGCAGTCTCTCAAGCCCAGATGCTCCATGCTGTCTGACATTCTTCTCCAAGTTTGAATCGGGTAACCTTCGCAAAGCCATCCAAGTGCGTGAGTAAGTATTCCTGAGTGGCTGTGTCCCAGCCAGACTTTCTACTCTGTTCACTATATGACATGCTGGGGTTCTACTGGGTTCTGAAAGCATCAGCCAGGGCAGCAAGTTTTATGATGCAGAGCTTACGATGCCTGCCAATATTTAGATGTCCTGAAAGAATCAGGAGTCAAAAGAAATCAAAGCTCGTGAAGTTTTACATGACTAAAATGTTGTGAATATTTGAAGGTGTGTTTGGATGCCATTGGTTCGATGGAGCTCTTTGACAGGATATTAATGAGTTTGGTTACATTCAGCAGATTCAGTGGTGGATTGGTAGGATGTTCATGGGCACCATTTCTTTGTCTTCCTTAACAGGTTTGAGTATGATTTAATTATGAATGCAGATGTGAACACCAACCAGCATCACCAGTGGTTCTACTTTGAAGTTCGTGGCATGAAATTAGCAGTACCCTATCGCTTCAACATTATCAACTGTGAGAAGCTCAATAGCCAGTTTAATTACGGTATGAGTCTTTGGGAAATTGGGATAGCATTCTGTTCACATGGATATACTTTTCATGCCATAAGGGTTTTGAAATTTCCACGTCTATGAAGAAGACAGTAAGCTTCATTTTATTTGCACTTAAATCCACCAAAAGAGTTATTTTAGACCTTTCCATATCCTCAAGACAACTGAGGAGTGAACTGTGTGTTGAGATAGGATTTGTGGAAAAAATGGTCATTGTTCTTTGAGTAAAAACCAGAACTGAGGAAGAATGGCACTGGGGTTGGAAGAAGAAAGAAAGGGGATCTTCTGGGATTGAATGAATAGCATAGGATTGAAGAGCTCTAATAAGATTTAGATAAATACAGATAATGCTCAAACAAATATTAATGATTTTTTGGGTTTATTGAAAGACATTTCTCTGCCTTTAGACCTGATGAGATTTCTGTTGATACAAAAAATTCTGTAACAAGCTGTCTTTGAGCTCCTGTCGCAGTCTGTATTCAGGAGGAAGGCTTCATTGCTTAGAAATAGACAGGGCAAATCCTAGCTTTCAGTGCTCATTTTAGCAGAGAAATTATTTAATCTGCATGAAGATTGTGGGTTGAATTCTTAGCTGGCATAGAGAGTTTTTCATTTGTTTCCATGGAGCTGTGCTAATTTACACCAGTTCAAGACAAGATTCAGAATGTTTAATATGTCCTTAATATCAGTCTTTACATTCCTCTGAAGTCCTGTGGATACAACCTCCAACATCACAAGGGAAACACTCTCAGGATCAATGTACCTAAAACAAATAGTGCTAGGAGCTAGAATGACATGTCACTTGTATTTGTGAGACAAGCTGGATGAGTGGCATAATGAATTATAAGGCATTTGCTCTTTAGCCCTAAGGGCTGGAGTTCAAGTACTCATATATAGATCCCAAATGAAAGCGAATTTTGTGTTTGTCATCTTATTCTGCTTTTTGAATAAACAAGCCATTAAAAATGGTGTGTCTGGTGGCAGCTTGAAAATGAAGTATATTGGGGTCCTTCTTATTGCAAACCCCACTGCTACCTTTGATACAGCCACTGGTGTCTTCATAGTTTGAGATTCTGAGTATTTTTGGTGGAAGATTGCTTATTATCTGCTATTTTGTCTGTTGCAAACTTTTTGCAAACTGAAATTGGACCTGACTTGCATGTTCAAGTGTGTAATGAAAAATACATATTTGAAAGAAAAACGTTTAAAAAAGCATCCAGTGTAATGAGGGTAAGCCATGGCATGCTTTAGTACGGCTTGTAGGAGGGACTGGTTGCTAAAACAGCTCTTCTGTGGGTTGCTTCTGCTGCACTGAGAGAGTACACATGCTCCAGCTTATTAGCTTGGGTGAGTGAGGCTCAGTGCCCCTGCCAGCACATGCTTGATATTCACAGACTGTGGGTAAGAGGTGTTGCCTACTTGCTAGATTTCCTTTGCGCTTCCCTGGGCTAACACCCATGTTATAATACTTGGACTTTAGTGCCGTGAGTGGCAATAATTTACAGCTCTTGATTATTAGCCTGTTTTGAGTCTTCTCTTCCCTTTTGCTCTCAGCTGGATGGCACTGCCTAATTTTCACATCAGCAGAAAAGGCGTCTTGTGAAACAGTTGTGATAAGGAGCAGGGCAGGCTGGGAAATGCAGCTTCCACCTCTCTCCTTCCTTTTTTCCACCTATGAATTCCACCCTGGAAAATACTGAGATTTGTCTCAGAAACCTGGTTTGTGTTTGTTTTCTAAGTGGAATGTTTCTGTGGGGAAAATGGAAAGGAAAAGCTAATTTTTTTGAACTGAAATAAGATGGCAGACTGGTATCGATCATTACTGTGAGGCAGTTTGGTTATGTATGGAGCTTTGCACTCACAGGGAAAGGAGGGAGACGGAATTTGGGATGCTGAGAGCAGTGTAGATCTTAAGCTCACACCTCACTAGGAACACCCAGTGCCTCTCTGTGAAGGCAGGATCCTTGCTGTACCACTAACAGGGCAAGCAGGTGGAAGAGTGAAAGAATTTGCTAGAAAAACGACCTGCAAATGGGCTGCCTTCATGGAGCTGTGAATAAACGTGTGCGCAGTTCAGATGGAGCTGCATAGCTCAGGGCTTGAAATGGTAATGTTCTGGAGGTCAGGAAGAAGTCATTTTCCAGTATAATGCAGTAGAAAGACAGATGCTGCTGTTATCAGCATTTAGATCTTCACTGTAGTCAGTATCAATCATAATAATCAGTGTTATTTAGGTCTAATTGAAAGTTTAAAAACTTACTCTAGGACAGTTTTTCTTGCTGCTTTCTAAAAGTATAATTCTAGATGCACCGCAGGCCTCTAATGTTGTGGCAGGATTAAGGATTCAATAACAGTGCAGCCAAGCATGAAATACTGTACTAAACAAATTACTGATCTGTTTGATATGTTGATTCCTATTCTTCTCTTCTTTCCTTTCCTCTATGTGTTTGTAAACAGAGAAGCTGAAGTCCTCCTTTCCAAAGGCCAGCAGGCTTATTTATTTTCTAACAAACCTTAATTCAGCTCTCTTCTGGCAGTGTTTTTCAGGACTGACATGGCTACAGTAGAACCAAGCATGGAAATATATTTACTGTGCATTAACTGTCTGCCAAGAGAGCACAGAGAAAATAATAATCCTTCTTGTTTTTCCTTTTCCTCTCCATCTTCATCTTTTCCAGCCAGGGATGTCATGTCACTTGAAACTCTTGTTTTCTGCAGGCATGCAGCTGGTTATGTATTCGGTGAAGGAAGCTCTCCAGGGCAGGCCTCACTGGCTTCGAGCAGGACATGATATCAGCTACTACAAGTAAGTAGTGGTGAATAATCTGTAGCTCCTCAATTCCCCTCCTGTTAGCTGAATAGATGTTGTTAACCTCCAACCACAGTGCCGTGTGTTTTAAATGCCTCTAAATTGATGCTAGTTCTATATTTTGTGTGCTCCCAACTTCAGGAGACAGCTAAAAGTGAGATCTCGAAATCTGCTTTAGGAGAACAGGGCATGTGCAGAATTCTCTCCCCTAGAAGAGAGACACTTCCCTAGAATGGAAACTCTTAACTAATCTTTATTCACTTCACCTTTTCTACTTCTGAAGCTGCTCTCTTGAGAGCTAGCATACTGTGGTGCGATGGATTCCTTTTGCATGCCTGCAACCTCTGGTTTCTTTCAGTATGGGCTTCTGGATTCAAGATAAAATGAGCATCCCCAGCAGATGCAAGCTGGGCAAGCTTCATGTGCTAATTACCATATAGCAATGGCTTATCCTGTCATTAACAAGACAGTTACTGTAAAGTGATTAAACAGCAGCTGACTTTCAAGATTAAACTATGATTGTGCAATTAATCAAGTAATCAGATTCTTGTTTAGAATATGAGAGAATGGAGTTGTATTGATTTGGTGTTTTCTATTTTTGTATTGAATTATGTATATGTCAACATGTTCATCTAGGATGACTACTCATTTTCTGTCTCATTTCCTGTTTGCACATGTTGTGAATACACAAGAATTCTTATAGATACATATGAACTCTCACCTCTGCTGAATGTCAAATCCCTTTTGTTTTAGTGATTATCAAATTCATTCCCAGTAATGAGAAATTGTGCTATGGTAGGTAGTATGGACAAAGTACGTCTGTGGTTGCTCAGATGATGGCTTCAGAATAGGAGGAGATGGGATCAGTGCAGTGCAGAGACTGCTTGTATTTCTGGGAGAGCATCTCATTTCATTTGTGTTCACTCTGGTCACATATCTTGGGGGCAGACTTGTAGATTTTGCAGGGGACCTCATCTATTTACTTTTACTAGGTGAAATTACCAAATTCATAAATTTGGAATGCCCTTAATTGTTTCTGCTGCACAGCTCTCACTGAGGACAACCTCTGAGCTGAAGAACAGTGGGAGGAAAGACATATTCACAAAATGTCCAAGTGATGCTCATCTCTGCTGACGTTCATCTTGGCTGAGGATGGGATAGTTCACTCATCAAGATGAATGTTGTGGCACAGCTCTGTCACTGCGTACCTTTCCCATATGTCTTACAAGAGAGCTTTTATGTTGCAGAGAATATTAGCAGAGCTCTTGTCAAAAGGAAGCTGAGTGACGCTTCTGCTCTATTTTATTGCCTCTCCAAGATGTAACAGGATACACCCATGATAAACAGAGTTGCAGTTACTATAAGATCATCTAATTCACTTGCTGTCTTGGCAGCTTTTATGCACTGAATAATATTCCTTTCCAGCAAATTATTTGAGGAACAATGGCAGCATGCTGAATTGGTGACAACGTGCTTGTGCCTTCTGGTTTCATGGCTCATTCTAGGCATATTAGAAAACCTCCAGCTTTTCCAGACAATAGTCAGTTCACAGATAATAATGAGGCAAATGGAGTGTTTTGTTCTCACATCACCACTAAAGACTTCGCTATTTGGTGGCCATAGCAGTGTCAGAACTAGGTCTTTTTTTCTCTTTAGCATCTTTAGAATCACATTATAAGGAATCGTCATTAGCAGGCTACGTCTTGGTTCCGATGATATCTATGAGAGAGTGCTGTGACACTGGTAGCACCTGATGTTCATAGCATGACTGTAAGCCTTAGTAGCAAGATGCTCATGGGAACGTTCTAAATTGAATAGGATTCTGCCTACAACCTGGAGAATAAAAGTGCCTTAACTTGGGTATGGCTCTTGAAGGGGAAGTGGTGTGTTTTCCAGTTTCCAGCATGGCAGGCCCCAAAGTAACAGCTGAATTTAGGCATGAACCATAAATTGTTCAATGCTACTGCTTTGTTATAAACCAAAGCACTACTAAAGCACGGTGCGTGTACCACATCAGGACATGTTGTAAAATGAGCATAACGAACTCCAAGTGGTAGATGGATTTTGGGCAAAGGGATACAGGTGATAAACAGTTAATTTTTCAATTAGGCTCTTTTTCAAACACTCTAGTAATCCAAGACAGATATTTTCTTCTGCCGTTTTAGTCTAAGCTGGTACAGTGCTGTGTAATTCCATCACCTGCCAGTGCTTCTGACTATATTAAGTCCTTCAGGCAGGAAGTTAGAAGATAAGATGAGCAAGACTTGTATTTCTTGAGGTAGAATCCAGCTCCTTTACCAGCTTGTGTCTATCTTTGGCCAAGAGCTTCACTGTATATGTTTCACTTTCCCAATCTATATGACATGGATAATTAGTCACTCACCTACTACCCAGATAAATGGGAGGCAAGTTTTAATTAGATACCTTGCAAAGGTAATTTAAGCTCAAAAAATTACTGCACAGTGTAAGTGATAAGTATTATTATAATTGTTATTAACTTGTCATCATAGCTGTATTAAAAATATATTACCTGTATGTTATTTCTGAAGGAGAGCAGCAAGCAAAGTGATTTCATTGTTATTAAGTGACTGAAAGGCATGGTAGATACAACTTGTAAGATGATTTTAAAAAGGAAAAGAAGCACCCTTTGGTCTCTTATTTCCTTTCTAATAACAAGTGCATTATCTTCTAGTGTGAGACTTTGGGAACATTTTTGGAAAGAGAACATAAATAGTGAGGAACAGATGTTGCTATGGTCGTTTTTTTAATTCCATCAAGACCATACAGATGAAAGGTGAAAATACATTTGCACTCTCCAGACAGAAGATGAGATCTTGCTGAATGGTGTTTCAGTTCATTAGGAAAACTGTGTTATAACTGTCAGTAATACTGTAGAATTCTGGACAGGTTGGGGCCCTCATCAAGCATGGTCCTGTAGAAATGCATCAGGAAAGACGATCTCAGCTCCCATATAAGTAGGCAAGGATAAGTTAGGGCATGTAAGTGGAGGATAGTACTGATGCTCACCTACTGAGATAAATAAATCTCATGTTACAACAAATGCTACGTGGACTGCAGCACCAGCAAAACCCAGAATAATAACCTCTTCCCTGCTTCTTAATTTGGGTTTCCTGCTGGTAGGGTAGTGTTGAAAAAGGGATGTGGAAGAAAAAGTATCAGCCTGGTGTGGTAACAAGGAAGCAGAAGAACCATCTCAGGGTGTCAGCAGCTGCAGGAAAGAGGGAGGGAAGGAAGAAAAATGCTGCTTTTAAAGTTTCCTTCAGAGTTACTGCATCATATGATGGATTGTGAGGTGAACAGATTATATGCTGTAGGAATACATGATCGTTTACGTTGTGCACACACAGGTGGTTTTTCTGGTATATGAGTGAAGAACAGTGAAGCCTCATGAAACCACTTCTAAACTTCCTGCTGCTCCCAGATAGCTTACTGGAGATTGAAATAGGTAGCAAGAAGTGATTCAAAGTCTAGAAGCATCTGGGTAGTTTTCTGGAATTGCAGAGAGGCTCAAAAGAAGAATGAAATGGACTGCTAAGCACTTTGAGAGCTGTGCATCTATACTCTCAGGATCATCAGATCTGAGCACTACAGCAGCAAAGAAGCATGGTCTTCTATGGTAGTATCAAGGTCAGAGGTGACTGATGGTGCAGAGCTTCTGGGTTAGGTGGGCATTTTAGACAGGAGAGACTTTTGACTGCAGAATTACTGATGATAGAAGGATAAGATTTTACTAGACCATAAGGGACAGGCAGGAAGACTTGCCAAATGTGTATGGAAAACATAGAGGCAGTGTCTTCCTGCAAAGTCCTGCTTCCTCCAGTATCTTTGACCACAAATACAAATTTGGATGGGAGAACTCGGATGATCTCAGCACTCGGTGAAAGTTATCCATGAATAAGGTTATCTAACCTTCCAAGTAATGCTGACTATAGCTAGAAGCTAGGGAGATGAGTCCTCTCCTTCCCCACAATACAAGAATGGTTCTTAATCATTTTTCACCATTAAAACCAATGGGATCTAGACCAAAAGGTACTGTCCTGACCTTTAAAAAATTGCTAGGTAGATATTCCTAATTTGTTGATTCACTGCATTTTTTTAATCTGAGTCTCTTTATCCAATACTACAGTAGTTTATTTGTGAGAAAAGTGTTGGGGTGAGGGGTTCATCTGAGGAGAGAATCGTAGGTTTTCAGTTTGCCTGTGGGACTCAGTGTTCCTGTACTGTCTATTGATCCACTCAGTATCATTTACATGTTTCTAACTATTACATTCAGGTACAAAAAAAAAAAAAAAAAGAAAAAAAAAAAAAATCCACAAAAAAAAAAAAACAACCAACAACCCAACAGCATTGTATTGTGTCTTCTGTATGAAAAAGAGTTGATTGTTTCGGAGAGTTTGACAAGAATAATTACCTTTTCTCTCCACCCCTTTGAATAAGAATGAACAGCAGCAAAATAAACTAGTATTGTAAATTTCAGGAGCTGAAATTGCATCTTTTGGTTGCCTTCTCTATTTTGCATTTTAATGCAACGTTGATGATAACATTTGTCAAAGAAACCTCCCAGTCCTTCAGAATCAGAAGGTTCCACAACAGCATAATTGGTGCTGTGTGGGAAAAATATTGTTTGAAATGTACTTGTGGATGCAATTTGCTGTGAAGCTTCTCCCTAAAGCGCATGAATTGTTTCTTCGCCTGTGCTGAAAGAAAACTTTCTTACTCAGTCTCAAGTCATCTCTTTATCAGAGTATCTCTCTTGCAAGAGACTACGCTGGGAATAGATTGAGAAGCTCTCTTCAAAATTTTGTAGTTTTAATGCAGGGATCTCCAAGGGCTTGAGTACATTAATAGGCATCGATGTCCCTGACCAACCTCCTTTGTGTCTTCCACCCAACACCCTTTGCCCATGGATTGAGAAGCCCTAATTAAACTCTGTCCTGGCCACTTGGTCCTTGCCTGTCCGTGCTGTAGAGAGGACTTGTTACCACAAACTTATGAATCATGGTTGAACATGCTTGCCATCCCTGGGCATGCCCTGCTCAGGTGCCGTGGGAGAGGACCCTGGCTGGTGAGGCTCATGACCTCCTGGCTTTGATGTCAAGCCCAGTCCCTGCCTCCTAGGGAGAAACTGACCCTCATGTTCCTTTACAGGGAGAGACTGGAGGACTTGAAAAGGGGAGTTCCAAAAGAGGATTTTTGCTTAGCTTTTAACTTGCAAGTATACGTGAAGTCAAGTCTCTGTTGGCAGTCTCCATAAAAACCCATTTCCCTCCTCTTCCTACTCAGGAACGATGACATTTGGAAGGTTTTTATAAATGTCCTGTGTTTTGCCTGGAATATCCTTTGTCTTCCTGAATGACTGGTTTCATATTCTAGTGAGTTATTTGTCTTTTTGAAGTCTTCAAGCTTTCACAGAATATTTTCATACGGCATTGTTCAGGCATGTCAATAAGAAGCTTTATCTTGAATCTTGGAAGCAACAGCAATGTTGGCTGAACACATTAGTTTAAATATCTAGACTGCACTATGTGAACTAGCATTCGTTGTTTTTTATTTTCACCTTCACAAAATGAAATAACTTCTTACCTCCTGTGAGAGTTCCCATCCTGGAGCAGCTGGGACTGGCTGTGTTCAGCACTGCTACATGCTGTTCTGTTGCTTACCTGCCTGAGAGGACAGTGAATCCCAACAGAGCTCTGAAACTAGGTTTGCTCAGTGGTGCTTAAAATCGTGATGCTTCTTACGTTTTTGTGTCTAGCAGGACCACAGTTTATCAGACCTTCCTACTTTTCATATAGCTGATAGGTGCTGCACTGTTATACTACAGAATGTTGTTTAGCACTGTTCTATTTTTTGCCTTTTTGGGGTTAGATTGATCGTACTTGCATGTGGCCTTCCCAGACTTTGCACAACAGTGGATTGAGTCTGGAGCTCATCTGCAATGCGAGGTGAAAATTCATTTAAGATAGATAGTTCTCTGAATGCTTAGTTCTTTCATTTGCATCTGGAAGTGATAACTCTCTGCTTCCCCTTTTTTCTCTTCCTTCAGAAACCACTACCGCTGCAGTGCAGCTGCAGGAGGAGGCTCAAGAGGAAAATGCTATTACACTCTCACCTTCAGCATCAAGTTCCCTCACGAAGATGATGTCTGCTATCTGGCCTACCATTACCCCTACACGTACTCTGCAATGATGGTAATGCTGATAAGTCCATCTAGATAAGACAGCAGGCCTGACAGATTGGAGCTGCTCGAGTATGAGAAAATGTTGTGGTAGCATAGAGGTCTGTTCTCACAAGCAGTTGTTTAATTATCATGATGCTCTCATTGTCTTACTTGAAGCTGCAGGCTTTGTTAGCTTCCGAGTCCAGAATGTTGTAGGAAAAATGATTTCTTTTATGGAATAAGCTGGAGTGCAAACATTACAATAGTAAGATAATGCAAACCAAAGATGTCTCTGTTTGCTTGGAGATGTGGTATCCCCCTGGTAGGAGAAGGAGGATTCTAAAGCTAATGACAAGTCAGAAGTGAAGGCTGCTTACTGCTGCTTCTGACAGAAGACAGCAGCTCAGCTTTCAGAGCTACACCCACAAGTGGAGTGATACCACAGTGCTGGGTTTCATTCAAATCCTCCTTGTCAGCTGTTTCATCTGTTCCAGTTGGAGTGTTAGGAGGTGTTTGTGACACCACAAATGAGTGCTGTCAGTTCAGAAACTAAGAAAATATAATTCCAAAGCATCAAGTGTATTATTAAGTTGTACCAAGTTTACTTTCTGGGGAAAGATTTGTTTCCTATAGCCTTTTCTGGTCAAAAGTGGATGTTAAGGGAATTTTCTGGTAAACACATCCAATATATTTTCTCAGATTAATGTGGGAGAACTAAAGATCTCAATGGAAAGTAGAATAAAAGAAGGAAAATGAGTGGTTCTGGGATTTGCTTTGCTTCATTGCTGAGGGTGGAAAAGATATTACTGCAAATGAAGAGTGATCCTGTAGGTCAGTCTTTTACCCACTATTTCTGCCCTCTAGAAAAAAAAAAATTAAAAAAAAAATATATATATGCATTTATATATGTGTGTGTGTGTATACATATATATATATATATAAAATTTTCTGCTGTTAGCCTTTTTAGTTTTGAAACCAAACCAGTGTGGTTTGCTTAAAAAAAAAAAAAAAAAAAAAAAAAAGACTTATTCTAATTTTTACATGGGTATTAATTTGCCATTATTAGGTATGAAAGCATACACAGATTTTTGAGGGAGACAGAGTAGAAAGTACTCTCTCACTTCGTAGCCTTGCAGCTCTGTATGCTGCCAGCATGGTTTAATTAGATTAATTCCCTCTTGAAAACCAGTCTCTTGTCAAGTGCTTTGCATCCCATTATGGACGTTTAAAGAAACTGCTTTTCAATATGTGGGAGAAGACCACTCAGGCCTTCACAGTCCAAACTGTGCCTACCAGCACTCTTCTCATCAGGCTTATGGCTACCAACTATTCCTCTGCATCAGTGAGGAAAAGGCTCTGTCCCAGGAGTGGGTTTTGACCTATAGCCTTAAGGGCACGTATATACTACAGTCTGCTGGGGAGAAGACAAATGTAATACTGAAGAAGTAAGTGGGCTTATTCACCACCATACTTTATTATGGAGATGCAATGCCTCATCATTATTTTACTCTTATTGATTTCTACCTTCCACTGGCAAAAAAGCAGGAGGCTCTTGGAGAGTTTCTATGCTCTGGGAATCACTGAATATCTCACCTACTCTTGAATGAATAGAATAGAAATGAAAAAGATATTATTCCTGGACTTGCAGGACCAAGTCTTGAAGTATTTCACCGCCTCTTCAAATAAAATGCTCATTGAAGTTGAAGGAAATTTTGCCTCTGGAAAAGTTTAAGTGAACTCAAGCTCAGTTAGGACCATAAAAATTGGTAAATGAGAATTGTGGATGGAAAAGTTCGATAGATTGTTCTGTCCAGCTATTTAGCCAAAGCAAAATTGTTGCATCTAATAATGCTAAAAGGCTTATTTGCTTGGAATGGTTTAGAATATCCTGAGTGATGCAATTTACACATTTCCATGCTACTTTAATTTCCACAGTGAATAAACTAAATCAGGTCTGTGCACCAGCAGATTTTAGTTGAAAGCGTTTGACCACTGGTGGAGTACGTTGATTTTACATATCAGTAGTAAATTAAAAGTGATTAGGAACCCAAGGGCTCAATTAAATATATGGTGCTTTGGGGAAGAAGATAAACTTGTTTTTGGAGTTAGTCATTTGGAAATGTTTTAAAATATCATATATATTTAATAGCTACAGGCATATTTACTATGCTGTGGAATCCTATTTGATCTGGGTGCACTCTGCAGTTCATTACTTTTTGTCCATTAGTAATTATATTTATTTTATGAACAGTAATTTATCTGTTTTTATATTATAGTGTTAATTGTTTCGATATCTAGCTGAAATCTCTGTGGCTACTATACCCAATTAAGTTTTACTGGGATTAGGAACATAAGTAAATCATGATATTGAGTTATCTGTATCTATGTAAGCTCTTTAAATGGGTCTAATAATTGAATTTACTTTATAGAGCAGTATGTTAATTGTTTTGCAGCACCAGATGACTGTAAATTTCAGCTCTGTGTTTACATTCAAGTGGTCACTGAGAAAGCAGTTTGAAAGATGAAGTTTGAGGTTTTAGGAACATAAATGTCTTGTCCCTTAAACACTGGCTAAGATTTAGCCCTGACTCATTAGCACAAACACTTGGAATGTAAAGGTTGTTCTGTGTCCTCATGCACTGTAGTTAAGGTTCTGTTAGTATCATGCATACTGCAATATGTCTATTTCTACCAGTCTAGAGACAGCTAGTCAACTTGTATTCCACAGCAGTCAGCAGCACCCTGCAGTGGGGTTACTCAAAGTATCGTTGCCACTTTCACTTACAGTGTAAAGACAGAGAGCCACTGAGATCTGCACATCATCTGCTGTGTGGGTGGTGAAGGGCTGTGTGTCTAATGAGGCGATCAGAACTAGTTCCAAAAAGATATTGTTTTTAGTTTGATTATTCATTTTCTCAAATTTCTCAAGGAGCTGTTGTGTGTAAGAATTATTTAAAAAAAAACTGGCAACCATGAAATCTGGTGGGGAAAAAAATAAAACCTCTCATTTTTAAGTACTTTCTTAGAAAGATACACTTGCTCGTGTTATCCATTAATGATGATACAAAATGTTTTCATGTGAACTTTTTGACTGCCTCTAATCTGGACTTGTTCCTGCGTATCATGCTCGACAGCTAACCAGCCAGTTCTATGAATGCTAAAAAGGACAACTTTTCACACCTACTACATGGTGCCTATACATAAAGAATATGTGATTTTCTTCTGGACTTCATGTATGCATAGAAATTCCTTTGCACTAATAAAAGTACCTAGGAACTGTTTGGGTAAAATGACATAGATAGTAGTCATGTGCAGCTTTGGTGAGCTAGGGTGCATTCTGAATGGCTCATGGATATTGATGGCATGTACAAAGAGATGATATTAGCTGGAAGGAGAAAGGAGCTGGTAAGTTAGCAAGAGTTGAAATGAGTGCCAAAAATGACGTACAGCTAGTGGAATAAAATCAGATTTTATCGACAGTGGACTCATTGATGAATCTGTTTATTTTCTTCTTTCTCAGTCCCATCTTGATGTCTTGGAACAAAGTAGGAACCCCAGGAAGGTCTATTGGAGGCAACAGACGCTCTGCCAGACACTAGGAGGAAATACGTGCCCATTGCTCACAATCACTGCTATGCCAGAATCTAAAAAAAGTGATGACGTGGAGCAATTCTGTAAGTAGACAAATGAAGTATTGAAAAAAAAAAAAATGCTGGTAACTTGATTTGCTTGCCTTTCTTTGCCAAAGAAGTACGAGATTCTCCCAGATATGTACAATAATTGAAGTGTACTGTTCAAATTCTAGCATGCTCAGAAGCTCCATCTGGATGTAATGTAGCTTCCTGCATTTTGCCCTAGGTCTGAGTGAAGGTACGCTATCTACTGGTGATTAGCATTTCTGCCACACTAAGTCTAAAGGTGATTATTTCTAACTGTCAAAATAAAAAAAAATTAGATCTCCAATGGCTTTGATTAATGATGTTACTTTAGTTTGTGTAAACAAAAGCAAATGACAAGAAGATTCTGGTTAGCATCACATTGGATTAGCCTTGACTTTCAAGCTGAAACGTCAGACTACCTTTACGTAGGTTGAATTAAGAGAGCAACCATTTTTTATTTTTATTTTTTTCCCTGAGTCTGGAACAAGGCACAAAAAGTTCTTTCCTCTGCTCTTAAAAATAACTGTAACATAGGTGGAGAACTTCTAGATTTAGATCTACATTGCTTTAGGATCTTATGGGTTGATATGCAAATATGTAATGTTATCTCTGAGATAACATTAGGTTAGCTGTTTCCAAAGAGATTCTGTGATATATTTTATGATGGAATTCTTCTTTCAGAAGTATTTGGTGATAATTGAGTTGAACCTCTCATAATGTCCATGCCAAATACATAAACTAAAAGGAATATCAAATGTCAGGGTTGGGGAAGCTATTGCTGTCTCTCCTGATTCAAGGTTAGAGTGATGGCTGTTATGATGACATTAATATAATCATCCTGAGCTCAGATTTGTTATAATAATCACAGAATCACAGAGTTGCAGGGGTTGGAAGGTATCTCAAGAGATCATCATGTGATCACATGCTAAAGCAGGTTCTCTATAATAGGTCACACAGGTAGGTGTCCAGATGAGTCTTGAACACCTCCATAGAAGGAGACTGACTCAGCAACCTCTCTGAGCAACCTGTACCATTGCATTTACTCTAGAATTAGCAGGTTTCTGAGCATAAATGTACTTTTTAAGACTGAAATTTTAAAGCAAACTTGAAAAAAATTGCCAACCAGAGCCTACATGGGAGTTCATCAGGTGCTTGCCTGTAAACAGCCTTAATGATGGCAACTGGAGGCAGTGTCAGAGAGAAAATTATATTGTTGGTTTTGCTATTATTAGCATTATTTACATTACAATATCACATACAGTACATGATTATGGAGTTTGGCTGTGTCAGGCATGAACAGCACCTGCCATGAAGAGAGAATTCCTGCCCTTAAGAACTTTTGTTCTGTAATAGATAATAATATAGAACAGAAAACCAGTGGGTGGGAGTTGTGGTGGGGGAAGCTGGTTATGGAAAATCTTCGGCGCTCTGCAGATGGTCACCTGTTTTGATGTTAGCTGTTGACAGCACCCTTCAAACCTCTTGGCGCACGGTCTTAGTAGGGCAACTGAAATTGGAATTGGAGATTGGAGGCACTCAGCTGAGATATGCAGTGGACAAGGTTTTCTGCCCCAGTAAATATATGTATGTTTCCAACAAGGGTACAAAATAAAAAGGTGAGCTAATGGTTTGATTTAACAAAGCAAGAACTTGATGTGGGTCAGGCACGTGATAAGTGAGCGTGCTGAACATTGGATTCAGCACGTTTGGCTCTGAAAGGACTTTCTGCTATGGCTTGCTTTTCGATTTCAAAATATCCATCAGTTTTCCCAGACAAAAAGTGCCGGTCTTGCTGACTGACCCAACAGTGTGCCACAGTCTGCAGACATGCAGAAACAGTGATCAGGATAAAAAGAAGAAAATCATAGGCCTGTACCAATGGAAGTCAAGCAGGAGTGGTTAAGGATGTTTTTACCTTTGGTTCCAGCCACAAGAGGGAACTGTAACTGCATGTGGTAATCATGTGTTAGACTGTGTCATCTACAGCCCTTAGAGACAGCAGGGAACTGAAACCTTGTGCCAGATGTGCTACAGCAGAGAGTAGATGACCTCTGTGTATGCAGAGCTTACAGCTGTACTTGAAACAACTGAGAAGTACAGATACACAGAAATGAGGAAATGACAACAGTGCTGACCAGAGCAATCGTAACCCAAGAGGCTGCTTTTAGGGAGTATCATGAAGTAAAAGTGACAGTATTAGAAGGCATTGCCTTTTTCTGAAGCACTCTGTCCTCTGAGAATGCATCTTGCAGCGTTGAAGTAGAGTCTGACAGGCTTTGAAAGGTCATTAACCTGTCTGTGGTGGCAAGGTTTTTTCCACACTCTCAGTATGCTGTAGGCTTGGACTATGCATTAAGCACGGATTTGCTGAAAGATTCATCAGTCTGTGAACATTTCAAACAGGTACTTATTTCAAAAGCTTTGGGTTATTGTAAAATCTGGGTTCAAATCTTAGTTATTTGTCTCAAATCCTCTTTATTTTCAAGATCGAAAAATCTCTTCTTTTGTGATCTTACACGAATCCATTTGAAACTCTTAGTTCTGACCCAAATCCTGTAATATGGTGTGCCAATAAATTCTTCTACTGAAGCTTTGCTAAGCAGTAATATTGACTTCTTAAATCTATCCATGAACCAATTGAGCTCAATCAAACCAGCAGATGAACAAAACCCAACTGCCTGAGCTAAAACAGAAATTGGTTAGGGGGGAGAGACAGTGTCAAGGCAAGGCAACAGAGTTTCTCTCAGGTTTCCAAGACTATAAACGTAAACATCGATACTCTTAGGTGATGAAAATATTTGTTGCTTTATCAAGTGGAAGAAGAGCAAGCACACCATGTGTTTTATGCTGTGAGGATGCCTCCAGGCAAATGTGAATAACCACGTGTATGCTTATTTTGTTTAAGCTTGGATAATTATGGCTTTTGGAGACGCATTTAGTCTAATTTGTGCTGCTGCTTTCTGCGGCTGTGATCAACAGTTGCTTCTTAGTTTCCTCATCTTGTGTGAAGTGCCTTTCTCTCTGTGAAGTGGGTTGGCTGATGGAGGGGTCTGTTTGTCAATATTTTGCAGGCTAAAAACAACTCAGAAGCAGTAACTATGAGGGAGCCAAAGAGGGGAGACTTTCCCAGTAGTAACTCCCATTCTTTTGAAGAGTATCCATGCGTATACATTTCAGACTTAGAGTGATTCTGTAGCACTGGTGGACTTGGCACATGGGTATTGAATAAAAATTAATGGCCCTTGTTCTTTCCTACTGTTTCTAGAGTCTGTAGACAGAACTTCGTAGTTCTCAGGAGCCATAGCCATTTTACTTTTCTATCAAATTCATTATTTCTGCTTTGTACATCTGTTAATCTGTACCTGGAGATATTCCTTTCAATACCAGTGGCTCAGGTAAAATACAAAACTCTTCAGGGCTTCACCTGTTGCACATGATTGTACTTTAATGATTGAAATCCTCCTGCAGTGCAGATGCACGAGGAGTGGGAAACATCACTGATGAAGAGACATTGGGTGAAGAGTTCTGGAAGGAGAGCATGATACTCCCAGTAGGAGTGCAGTGGGAAGGAATTATTGCAGTACTGGGGAAGCTGATACAGTGGGAGCAGCCCAGGGATGATGAAGGCATGGCATCTTCTGTGTCAGCTGTGCTTTATTTTCCTTACTCAGATCTTTCAGTTTGGTCTTGTCAGGCTTTTGATTAATGTGGTCCTTGGATGGTTAAATTTGTCTGAGTTAAATTTATTAATGTGCACCTTGTTAATAGGAAGCACAAGCCGTGCACGTTTGCAGGAACTGCACGTTTACTGCATACTAAGGGGAAGAAAAATGGGCTGCTGTTTTTCTTCATTATGCCTAGTTTACATGAGGCTTGATGTTCACTTAGGCTCCTTTCTCCTTCCTCTCTTTCTATCTTGTGTTTATGTGATGGCGGTGTACTGAATTATTTTTATTAAATTCTCAATTCTGAAACTGAAATGAGGAAAGAAAGAAATGAGCCAGGAACTCTGTGCATCCCTGCTTTTTGTATTTCTGTCATTCAACAGCTCAGTTGTAAACAACACAACATTTGCTCAAACTTTATCAGCTTCTGTTGATCTCAGAGGACTGGAAGTGAAACTCTGAGGAAAGACAGTGGTTTGTGCTGAGCTTTACAGCTTCACAGATGTGTACAAATTAAAACTGGGAGGCTCTACTTTGTTGTCTTGGTGGATCTTGCCCTTCCTGCAGTCTGTGAAGACTGAGCATCCAGCAAGAAAGGGTGTCTTCGCTTCTCAGTCCAAGTAGTATCTCGCATAGACTTGTGATGAAGATAAAGCTCTTATTTTCTCAATCTGACCATACGAATAAGCACAAATGATGAGATGAAGGGATTGTTTTTCTTTCCTGTCATCTATCTATTCCACATCCCTCTTTCCCTCTTTACTCCTTCACTCCTTCTCATAGAGTTACACCATCTCCACGATGAGAGGGACTTTGCAAGAAGGAGCAGTTCTCAACATCACATTTGAAATGTTCTCTAATCAGTGCAGAAGCAGTGAGAATGACAAAGCTTCAAATTTGGGTGCTTAGTGAATTTAAGAGGAGCTTGCAGAGGGTTTGTTGCATATATCCCAATGAAGGCAGTGTTAACATTGTGTGTGTGCACTTAGTAGTAGTTTGCAAACTCTTAATTCACAGTGCATTCAAATATGCAGTATGTGACTGCATTCTTCTAAGCCTCTCTGACAGTTTATCACTGCAATTAACCTCTGCTCATTAGAATAATCCTTATTATTCCTGGTTGTTGACTTGCATGCTCCAGTTTTTAACAGATACAGACAGTTGCAAATTTGCAGATAGTGCCTAATCTCATCAATATTTCCTCTTTATATTATCATATATATTTCTTCTGTAGGTGCCATTTTTTAGTAATGAGATGTGCATGAGCCTACAATGTAATAAAATGGTAGCCATAGCTAAAACTAATTTCCAATGGTACAAAAATCTGTCGCATCTAGTTGTTCTTTCACG